TCAATAACCTCTTAAAATTCCCAATTTGTGATAATTTGTCATTATGACCATCTAAACTGAGCTAGGTAAATGTCTTTTTAGAAAATGAATGCTTTACTTTACTTCACCTTTTAGAATCTTTACTTTCATTCCAGATTCGACTCCCTTTATAAGACAAGAAAGCTACATATAATTAGATTGTAATTAATGCATCAGTGTTAAAACTAGAACCATATGTATTAATCAGAGGCTAGCTGACAATGACCAGGGTAGAGAATTAGAAAGATAAAGTCTTGTTTTATGATGATGGAGTATAAGTCCAACATATACAATTCTGTCAAAACCATCTGTTTACTTTTTTAAACATGATATATTATCCTGAGAAACGTAAGGAATTTAGTGCTGTATGTGTTATAATAAAGCTATAAAGTATAGATGTTACAATACATTATACATGTATATGTATATTGTGTTGTATTTTTTCTTGAAACTGCAACTTATTCTTGCAATGTCAGTAAATATAATACCACCAAGTGTGATATTCTTCCATATGCTTCAAATATGTGCCATTTCATCAATTATTGAGTATTGCCCTGTATCAATACATCACCAATGGATTATGCTTGGATTAGTATAGATGCATCATTAAGGATTAGAAGTAAGAAGAAGCAAGAAATTACCAACTATCAAAATTCTTTAAATAAACTCAAACCCTTATCTATAATTTACGGAAATTTGGAATATATATTAGCGATATAGGCTTGCATTAAATTTTTTTATCATATTATAAGATTTTCCATATTTCCCTTAACATTCCAAATCTCAAGGACATAAAAATGATCAAATTCTGAAAATAGAAATGCTACGATAGCAATCAATCTTTTTGCAGGAAAAACATAAATAAATCTCAAATTCCTCTAGTTGGTAACTCTTTAATGTGTTAAAGGAATACTCAGATACTTGAGTACCCTGAGATTATTAGCTAGTATGAGTACTGCCCTCTGAAGAGAGTCCTAATTTTCTCTGCTCGTATTCAGTTCAACCATCTTGATATGTTTACTAATTCAAACAGAAATCGCTATACTTGAGCCATAGAAGATTCTGATTGGCTTAACCAGTTCAGATGTTTTATGATTTAAAGAGTGAAATAAAGTTGGTTGCTCTTGTCAAAGGGTAATTTATAGGATTCAGATGATAAACGTTATAACCAGGAATAATACTGTATCAGTGTATATATGTATTCCATACCTATTGAGGTTTTAGGTACATGTGCCAAGGTGTGGGATTTGCAGATGGCCCAGCTGTATCCATTTTGGTCCCACTTCATAATTTTTTAAAATCCATTTTTTGATTTTGGAATCTTAAAAGGTGAAATGTACCGAGAACCTCAGTCAGTAACATTGTTTTCCTCAGGAAACCATGTTCAAGAATCTCCCAGTATATAATCTTTATTATATTCCCACATTGTCATAGAAAGCAAATATAACCTTATCATCTATACAGACATATTCAAATGTGCTTTACTTCTATTTACAAATTGCATTTAAACAATAATGTAATGCCAATCAGGACATCAACGCTAAAATGATGTAGTAAAACAAAAAGTGAATAGAACTGTTATATTAAAAAAGAGTTTCTTGATTTAATGTATAGGTGATGATAGCAGAAAGTACTCCATAAATTGTGTATGAATTATGGATAATAAGAATAAACCAATCATTTGGGAATTGCAGTATCATTAACTGGTATTAGCTTGTAGGAAGCTTAATATTTCTGTCAGTTTTTCTGAATGATTATCTGTTTGATTCATGTAGGAGTTCAAATAATATATTTATAATCTTAGCTGCAAATCACCTTTTCCCATGCGATATTAGAAAGGGTAAAATGTATATTCTTAATTCAAAATAATCAATACTGGTGATAAATCAAGTACATGTACAATACATGTATGTAGATGAGAGACTATTAAGTTGTCAAGGCCTGTTGAAGGGAATCACGCAAAAAACGACATGGTCCATATACAGAGCCATTATAGTGTTTGTACGTTGGTAGGTTTTTATGTCTCCTCCAAAAGTGGTCACATATTGTTATGGTCTCCATTTCTATGTCTGCAGTTGGTGTCCATCATCTGTAACAAATGACAGGTGGTTACATTTTGCATGTTAATGCCTTGTCTCAATTCTCTCTCAATTCTGCTGCAACTTTAAGATTGAAAATAAAATAAAAAATTAAAAGATAAAATAAACAAGGTTACAGTGACCTAGGATAAAACGGAAGACAGACTTCAGATATGAACTGAAAGACTTTTTATTAGATTATTTTTCTAATATTCACAGCAGGTTGGAAATGAATCATGTATTTAACCCCTCAACTATACACAGTGACAGAATTTCTCATCACCTAAGAAATGACCTAAAAACCTGGAGTGATGAGATGAGTGTCTGTCACAAAATGTCACAAATATTTTCACTAAACTTGCTCTAATTTGAACAATTTTTATCCAATTTACACAAAATGTGTTAAAATGCTGTAGAAATGATCTCACTAATTTCACTAAATTGAGCATCGCCTGTTGCACATGCATGTTGTAAAATGTCAAAAGCTGGCAAAAATGAAAAATTCTCTGGTTTTAAACAGTTTTTATGTCACCACCAAAAGTGGTGACATATTGTTATGGTCTCCGTTTTTTGCGACGGCGGTTGGCGTCCGCCGGTTGGCGTCCGGCGTCCGGCGGTTGGCGTCCGGCGTCTGTAACAATTTCTTACAACTTCCTATAACTTAACAAATACTGTTTAGACTGACTTCAATTTTTTTCTAAATCATCTACATGTTCTCAGAAGTTCAAATCTGACTTTAGATTTGACATTTGACCTTCAATGACCTTCTCAAGGTCAAAAAGGTCTTTTTTCAACTTGCTTCACATTGACTAATTTTTTTTTCAAAATCATCTACATGTTCTCAGAAATTCAAATCTGACTTTAGATTTGACATTTGACCTTCAAATCTGACTTTAGATTTGACATTTCACCTTCAATGACCTTCTCAAGGTCAAAAAAGGTCAAAAAGGTCTGTTTTCAACTTGCTTCAAATTGACTTAATTTTTTTTTCAAAATCATCTACGTGTTCTCAGGAATTCAAATCTGACTTTAGATTTGACTTAAGATTTGACATTTGACCTTCAATGACCTTCTCAAAGTCAAAAAAGGTCAAAAAGGTCTTTTTTCAACTTGCTTCAAATTGACTAAATTTTTTTTTCAAAATCATCTACATGTTCTCAGAAATTCAAATCTGACTTGAGATTTGACATTTGACCTTCAATGACCTTCTCAATGTCAAAAAAGGTCAAAAAGGTATTTTTTTATCTTGCTTCAAATTGACTAAATTTTTTTTTCAAAATCATCTACATGTTCTCAGAAATTCAAATATGACTTTAGATTTGACTTTAGATTTGACATTTGACCTTCAATGACCTTCTCAAGGTCAAAAAAGGTCAAAAAGGTCTTTTTTCAACTTGCTTCAAATTGACTTATTTTTTTTCAAAATCATCTACATGTTCTCAGAAATTCAAATCTGACTTTAGATTTGACCTTTAATGACCTTCTCAAGGTCAAAAAAGGTCAAAAAGGTCTTTTTTCAACTTGCTTCAAATTGACTAATTTTTTTTCAAAATCATCTACATGTTCTCAGAAGTTCAAATCTGACTTTAGATTTGACATTTGACCTTCAATGACCTTTTCAAGGTCAAAAAGGTCTTTTTTCAACTTGCTTCAAATTTACTTAATTTTTTTTTCAAAATCATCTACATGTTCTCAGAAGTTCAAATCTGACTTTACATTTGACCTTCAATGACCTTCTCAATGTCAAAAAAAGTCAAAGAGGTATTTTTTCAACTTGCTTCAAATTGACGAATTTTTTTTTCAAAATCATCTAAATGTTCTAAGAAGTTCAAATCAAACCTTCTTAAGGTCAAAAGGTATTTTCCAACTTGCTTTAAATTGACCAAATTGTTTTAGGTGGTGACATTTTGTCATGTTAATGCCTTGTTAGAGTTTGGGATTCAACAGGTTAAATAAGTCTTTATTTCATTTTTTAATTCAGGTTTATTTTTAGAGTCGAAATCAATGTGCACTTGTTCTTTATATCATAAGATCTCTAAAGTGGTACTTGAAATAAACAGCATCTTGATTCACACAGTTTCAATTGCTCCAACTTCTGTTATATAAACCACCTTGGAATTCGAAAATGATAAACTGACAAGCTTTAAGAAAATGTGAATATATATGTACTTTCAAGGAATTTTTATAACTTTTCCAATATTCATTTTGAATAGAAATGATGCATTCAAGGTTTTCATATGAATTGCCATATGTTATCAGTAAATATAAAAAAGATATGAAAATAATACATAGAGGATATTGCCTGGTTTAAGACTGATATATTTTTTGTCATTGTTCATGTTGGATATTTGATTCTGCAAGTGTTACTGTAGCATATTGTCAGTGTTTGAGGTGATATCAGCTCTCATCCAAGTAAACAATATACATGTACAGGTAAAATACCTGTGTGGATTTTTGCCATTACAACCATTTACCTGCATTTTCTTCTTTCTTTCTAGTTCTTATTTATGATTCTACATTTAATTGTCTACTCATAAACTTTGGTGCTAAATAGACAGAGAAGGCTTTAAATGGTTTTGAAATTATAAAATTTATTTTTGAAAACTGATTTGAATATATTTTGGTATAAAATATTATTTTCATCAATGAGGGTGAAGGTGAAACGTCTCTGCTAAAGATTTGCAAACCACGAAAAGTGAGAAATGATAGAGCTAGAAATATCTTGTTACTACATGTACTGTACATGTATTCTCCATTGCTTCGCTAATATTTATGTGTGACAGGATGTACATAAAACAGGGCTCTTTAATAAGTATAAATCTAGCATGCCTTACATCACCAGTTATAACTCTCACATTTTCTTATATTAATATTGATGATTTTTTTGTTTGTTTTTATTTGCAGGTTTGGTCTGATTCAGAAGCCATTGTATATAAACATTATACGAAACCCCCTAGATAGACTTATTTCCTACTATTACTTCTTACGAAATGGGGATGATTTCAGACCACATTTGAAAAGAAGAAGAATGGGCAACAAAATGGTAAGAATATTTTTGTAAAACTCAATATTTTGCTTTCTGTTTGTGTTTCATACTTGTATGTACAAGAAAACTAGATTTATATTTTTATTTGATTTTACTACTTAATGTGGCATATCATGTGGGTAACCTATTCATGTGTTTGCAACTTAATTAATATGTTAATATTTTTAAGCTATATTCTTTACAAATTTTACTTGGCATAAACTCATAAGAAACTTTCCTTAGAATTTTCTGTTAAATTGATATGGTAATATATTGTTTCTATTCATTTCTGTGCAACATGTGGTGATGAATATGATAAACTAGAAACAAATCTAGTTGTATACAGAGTTTAGTTATTACTAAGTCAAGTCATTAATTAGCAATGTATTGCTTTTTTATTGCCAGTTAATAGTTTATTCAATAATGCTTTTCTATGTACATTGTATAGTATTTCAGTCCAATTTGAAACTTTTTGGTTTGAAATTAATTGATGTTGTACTATGTATTTATTTTTAAAAAGTAGTACTTTTTGACATATATGTAGAAATATGTGTCAAGTTATGTATTAATATAAAATAATTAGAGTTTATTGTGCAAATATCAGGGGTTTCACTAGAATTTCTCACAACAGGCTAAATTAATGAAACAAGGGGCATAATGAATGAAAATCATAAATTTAACATGGAAAAGTTGGAAACTCCATAAAAAACAGATGATTTTGTGAAAACAACTGGTGAAAATGGCCTGTTGACTGCTGCTAATGAAACCCCTGAATATATATTTATTTTTGAAATTCATAATATTTACTTTTTCCGAATGGTACTCTTCACCTTGTGTAAATAATTATATTTTTATGATATCAAATTGTAAATATGTTTGGGTTTTTCATTGCCACTTCACAGACAAACATATGCTAAGATCAAGGACATGGCCATTTATTATAAACCATATTTTTTAGCTACTGACACTTCCATTGATGATTTATTTATATAGCCGCTCTCTAAATTAATCCTCCAACAATTCGAGTGATCAATCACTGATATTTTGAATGCACACTATTGACATTTTGAAACAACAAGGGAGTGATGTATCTAGGTTGAGGATGGGTGTCATTTGTAACTATGGTGACAGTTAAGATTGTCTTCTGACAGTGACTTGCCACAAAAATAAGCCATAAATCCATTCTCTCAATGGGTCCATGAAGTGTATTCTCTCTTTTAGACAGATATACTTCAATAAATACTCAACCTACTTTTTCCACTCAGACCCTATGCAATTTGAGAGATAAATTAAAAAAATAATTTAAAAAAACAAATGTGATCATGTTTACATTGATTTTGATGGGATGATTTACTTTTCATTTTTTGTCCTCTCATGATTGTATTTTGGCTTTCTGGGGAATACTTATATTGAAACTTGGATGATGTGACTTATTTTGAAATGGTCTTGCTAATCTTAGTACATTATTTATGGTATTCTAATGCATTATACCATATTTGGTATATGGTATTCTAATGCATTATATATGGTATTCTAATGCATTATACCATAATTGGTATATGGTATTCTAATGCATTATATATGGTATTCTGATGCATTATATATGGTATTCCAATGTATTATATATGGTATTCTGATGCATTATATATGGTATTCTGATGCATTATATATGGTATTCTAATGCATTATGATATTTCAAATTGATGAAGATTAAATGAAAGTGAATCTTTTTCAGCTTGAACTACTTCATCAACACATTTAATAAATAACAGAATGTTTTAAATGTCAGTTCTTTTGTTCTTGTTTCTGATATATTGGTTCTTTTCCTGCTGAATATTAGCAATCATTATTCCTTAGAACGTATTCAATTGTCCAGTAATGAAAGAGTAAGCCATAAAAGGAAAACTTATGGAAATAATTGCAATAATTCATGCATTAATCCATGGTAATGATGGCAGCCTATAAAGATGACCTTAATGGAATAGTTAATTTTAATACCAAGTTTACTTATCTACAGTTTCTATTTATCTTGCTTGATAGAGGAAAAAATCAATTTGGATATTTTGCTCTACCGATTGATTGATCCTGTTGTCTGAGATAACGGAAAACTTAATCTGGGATGTTACAACAGTTATAGTGTGTTTCCAGTATGAATAAATGCAATATTATTTTATTGTTCTTAGGTGGCTTGGCTTTCAATGTTGAGTTCTCTTTGAATTTTGTATTATTTGCATTATAAAAGGTCTAACTTGGCCTGGTCTTTTCCAGTCTGATCTGGGCTTACTTGGACTTGTCTAACCTGTGATCTGTCTGACCTACACCTCCTGGATCTTTTCTATTATAATCTCCTATATGTACACGTGTTGTGTTGTTTAATTGCAGACATTTGATGAATGTGTAGAGGAGGGAGGGTCTGATTGTGATCCAATTAATCTATGGCTCCAGATTCCTTTCTTCTGTGGACATGCAGCTGAATGCTGGTAAGGGATACCATCTAAAGGATATTTGTATTACCAATGATATTAATTTATTGTATGTCCTCCTAGACTCCCACAAACATGATCATCAGTTTCTACCTTACGAACTATCATCCTTCCATCCGAATCATGGTTCTCACAACACAAATATCGAACCACGTCCACAAGTTCCTCTCTCCCGAACATATTTCTCCACTCGTTGACCAAAATCCCACACAAAGCTGTGTGGTTCGCGATGTGGGAACTCTGTTCCCAAGTGGAGAAATATGTTTGGAAAAGAGGAATTGGTGGTTTGAGACTTAAAAATCGATGTTCGCGTTATGAGAACTGTGGTTTGAGTGGAATGAACATAGTTTGCAAGGTTGGAACTGATGATCGCGTTAGTGGAAGTCTAGGAGGCCGGATGTAGTAAAGAATGTTTAGTAAAAAATAATAAAAGTTTCTCTGTTTTGTATCGAACTACTATGTCCCCTCCCATTCTCTGTCTAGTGCACAGTGGGTGGTCAGAGACTTGATTTATTATAGTATCTCTATTTATTTCATTTAGGGAGCCTGGGAGTGAGTGGGCCTTAACACAAGCCAAGTATAATTTACTAAACAATTACCTTCTGGTTGGTACAACAGAGGAACTTAGCAATTTTGTAGCAGTATTAGAAGCAACTGTCCCACGCTTGTTTGCTGGGGCAAGGTATCTCTTTGAAACAGGTCAGGGGATTTCAGTCAAATGTACAACATTAATTAGTTGAGAATTCTGAGCTAGAAGCACATAATCAAATAGGCCTTTACTGCACAGTGCACAAGTCATTTTTATTTTATTTTGAACTCATCAAGATAATACGGTGTCTACATTTGTACTATTTTGAAGAACTTGAACATGTAAAGTCATGGTTCCCAGTGACTACCTTACAATTAGGAGCATATATTAGCCCTATTGAGAATGAATGTTAAACCCGTCCCATAACCTAAATTTGAATTCTCTTACAAGTTCATCTAGTATATTGTACTCAATACAAAGTTATTTTAGAGTAAATCACAATTATTGTATCATTTATCTTATTAGTGCTTCAGAAAATGCAAAACTATTGTGAAAATTCTAAATAATCAGAATATCTCTTAAAAGCTATATTATACTGGAACTTTATTGTGACATATTTAAAAAAAGAATAATTTGTTCATTTGGCCTTATACTCTGTGGAGTTGCTGTTTTTTAGTTGAACTTTCTGAACAATAATGTACATGTCAAAACTTATTTCATCAATGTTATTAAAATATAGATAAAAATTCTAAGATCTCAAAGCTTTTCTATTATTTTGATAAAACCATTCATGTATTTAAAATGTATTTGAACAATTTTATCATAATTGGTAATAATCTTTATGAGACTATTAAGTAAATACAGACCATCTTCCAATATTTCTACCTTTTGATTCAATATGTTTATCTTTGAGGCAAGCAATCAATTAATTTCCTGTATGTCTGTTGTGTTTCTTTACTTTACTGATGTAACATGAGATAGTTGCCTCCAGTATAAGAAAAGGGAAATTAGTTTGCATTTTAATCATATTTCTATTTTAATTATATTTCTGTTTTAATCATATTTCTGTTTTAATCATATTTCTGTTTTAATCATATTTCTATTTTAATCATATTACATTTGTTTCAGGTGAAAAATCGCATTTAAGGAAAACTTATAATAAATTAACTCCAAGCTCAGAAACTGTGAGGAAAATCCACCAATCAGAGATTTGGCGAATGGAGAATGAGTTCTATGAATTCGCTAGTAGACAGTTTCAGTTTGTTATGAAGAGAACGTTTGACTTGAACGCTAATGGAGAATTAGAGGCCAAAAAACAGCAGTTTACATATGAGAAGATTCGGCCGAGGTAAAACCTCCCCACCCTCACCTATATTTAGATGTACATGCATGTCTCTGTATATATTGGTATTCCGTACGATGAAATCAATATGGCTGTGTCTAAATAAACAGTAAACTTGGTGTTAGGGACCTGGTTAAATATGTATTATTGTTTCATTTTTACAAAACATTATTATGGGTAAAAAGTAGGACATTATTTTGGAGGCAACAATTTAATGTTGTTAATTTCAAATGAGAAAGAGTAGGGGATCTGCTGAGAATTTGTAGAATTAATTTCATTAAAAAAAAATCATTACTATTTTGACCTGGTCCCTTTTGTAAACATCAATGGGACCAGTTTAATGTGTTCATTTTCAAGGGAGCTGACTTGAGAAGTGTTCATTAAGAGAGGTGTTTACTTATTATGTACCATATACAGGCTTACTGTATGATGCCAATGTCTTAGGAGCACCATGTGACAATGTGACAATCATGCAATAGAAGTGTGTGATTTCTACCACAGGTGCTATTAATGACACTTGTAGGGTTGAGTACTGGGGCAAAAAGCTCAGAAAGTGCAAAATGGGTTTGCAATATTGAATTGAAGTGCAAATGGGTTTCATGGGTCAGTTGGCAATGGGGAAAAAGTGGCAAAATGGGTTTGCAATGTTTAAATGGAGGATGGAGCTAAAATTGCAAAATGGCTTTGTAATTGTAAGCTCCAAAATGGGACAAAATGGGTTTTCATGGTTAATTTGGGAATGGGGCAAAAAGCACAAAATGACTTTGCAACGTTAACATAGAGGATGGGGAAAGAAGTGTAAAATAGGTTTTCTTAATTGAACTTGGAATAAGGCATGAATCACAATACCTTACTATATTGTTATGTAAAACACTTCTAAAATGTGCATGTATGGCTTTATCTTATTTAAACATTCATGTTCTCGTATGTAATGTATGAGGGAAATAATCAATGTACACATGTACATTATTCTTTATTCTATTCAATATCATACCTTAAAGGGGCAACAAATATTAGAGATGCTTGAGAATTACTTCACAAAGTTCACAATTTACAATATTCTCCAACATTCCATGTCTGTGCCTATTTTCTATAAAATGTCCTAGAGTTCTGACTGTCATAATAAAGTCTTGATGTTTAAGATTATTTGGCAATGGTTATGAGTGAATGTCCCTTTTTCAATTCCCATGGATTTAAAAAGTTATGCATCTTCAGTAACTTAATTATTTTATCAGATATCTCAATTTTTTGGTAAAAGATGATAAAAGAATTGTAAGAGAAACACCAGCATGTTTTTTGAAAAATGTTCTAACATTTTACATTCTCTCATCTTTGCTGCCTCTTTAATTTTACATACTTTTTCATGTTAATTTAAAACACTTCATGCTTTCTCTATGAGAAAACTATTAAATGAAATGTTTCATCATGTTTATGTACATAAATATTAAATACATGTAAATAAGTCAATGTCTTGATTCTCATAACTAGGTGGTGGACCTTCTCTGAGGTTGATTATTAAAAAAAATGTCCCCACACAGTATATACCTTCAATGAAGGGATGTAATTTTGAGAGTTAATGAAAAGGCCTTGCCTTTCCTTGTTTTGTTAGTCCATTGAATATCTAAAGTAGGCTAAATTAAGGCAATGAATCATTCAGTCAATAGTTATTACTATTGCCTGCTGTCTGACCAATCAAAATACAGCATTTACATTGAGATACTAATATTTTCTCTTGAATACCTCAGTAACTGGAATAACCACATGTAACACTAATACTGAGGGATTGTCCTAACCTGTGTTTTGTACAAAATGTTTTCTCAGAATGTAAATAGCATAGAAGGCATTGTTGTCTCAATAATAAATGTAAAATGATTAGTAATAATAATAAATATTATATAAGTTTTAAACTACACGTTTCTGGATTTCAAAAATGGTACATCTCCATATGTATGAATGTTTCTTATTATAAACACTTTTGTTGGGATGGTTTATAGGGGTTGGGGTGACCAAAGTCATTGACCTTGTTTAGCCTGAATAAATATTGAAGTGCTCATTGCCAAAAATTTGAGCCCAGTTGGTCAACATGACATCACAGAGCTATAATTGTGCAATTTACCTTTGCAGTATCAAAAAAACAACATATTACGAATATGATAAACAGGAATGTTAAATTCTGCCTGTTTGTTTCACAGATCAAAACCCATATGGCATCATGTTATAAATGAACACTTTGCTGTTCTTCAATTAAGAAAGGGTGTCTATAATATCAGACTGACCCAACTCAAGAGAACTTCTTGCAAGCATAAGAATGTTAATACTTTGAAACCCAGACTTATATACAACTTTACCTTGCCAGGGCTGATGTGAAAAATTCCCTCCACTCCAGCTGGAGTTGAACTTAGTTCAGTACAGAGTAGAAAACCACTCATTCTGGAGATCAGGTCAAAATGTAAGCCACATTCCTGTTGTAAATTATTATGGTCTCGTTTAAAGGGGCTCAATGCCTTTTCCTGATTCTAAAATACACCAAAATTGAAATATTTCATGATTACATGTGACTTTGTCACAAAAAGCATCTTTTTGATAATATTAGTGTTTAAAAAGCTCAGTTGGTTCAGTTGCAAGTGATTTTTCATTTTGCCTTTTAGTAATTTTAAGAGGCGTGTTCTTCATAGTATAATATGATTAGCACATGTCATTTCACTTACTAGATGAGCAATTGTTAATGCCTTGGTATTTTCCGGAGAGATGCTTAGTATCAAAGTCTGTTGATGGTAAAAATTGTAGATTTAGAAATTATGAACATTTTTAAATAAATTCTTTTAAATATATTCAAGAGAAGAGGGAATTAGCAAGGATTATTATATACCTCAAATGTATTCTAGATGCTCATTGGCTTATTCATGGTCACATGACATGGAATAGATGAACTAATTCCCTGGAAAGTCCTAAATCCCTGCTTTCAGGGAAGATGAATTGTACTAATCACCAGTTAGGACATGTGACCAGTCAATAGTACATTTTATCTTCCCCCAAATCTGAGATTATAGGAGTTGAAAGGTAAAATGCCTTTAAATGCCAATAAGAACCTGTGAACATTTGATATTGAAATGAAAAGACTTCTCATTTTGTTTTTGTTTACAGAGTACTTTTTTCAGGTATATAATAAAACAAATAGTGACTGCCACATTTTCGGGAAATAGTGTAAAAATTTTCCTCTCGGGAATATCCTGTCCACTGACTTGTTCCCTCGGCCTGCAGCCTCGGGAACATGTCAGTGGACAGGATATTCCCTTGAGGAAAATATTTTGCACTATTTCCCTCAATGGCAGTCACTATTTGTACAATAATGTACTTATAATAGGCCTATAAATTCAAGGTTCATTGAGCAGAGCTAAAATTAATTTCTCTGACCTTGTTGATACTCAAGGGGCGAGGAGGAAAATTCTCAATAAATGGTGTATAGTTGGTTTGGCAGCATTTTCAGTTAGGGGAGAGTCTTGGATGAAACTTCCATCTAGGTGATAGCTTCACAGAGTGGTAGGAAGTTCTTTTTTTTGAGGAGTTAGCCCCCCACCCCCCAAAAACACCCCACCCTGGGGAAAAAATTGTTCACACTAAATAACCTTAGATATTTTGATGTTTGTAAGTGACATACATAGATATTATATATATAAATCACTTGCAGTATAATTGATGCTGATAACTTTTAAAGAATTTGAAAATTTATACAAAGTATGTACCCCAGGGGGCAAATTCGTGACTCATTTTCTTACTATTTTGATTCTAACTTTTCAATTAGACACTGTAAGAGGTTGGAAAAATTCATGTGAAGTGCCCAATAGCAGGGTTAGTAACCCTGAAAGATGCAAAGCCATGGAAGAGGTAGGAGCTGAGAAAAAAATTGTTGATTTTTCGAAAAATTTGACAATTTTGACAGCTGGATTTTGTGTATGACTATAGCTGACCCTTATAATTTCTAGATCCATTCCTCTATGATGATAGTTATGGTTTTATAGTGTGGAACTAAGATGTTAAACATAATTTAGATGGGTTTTAAGGAAGTTAAAGGTTTTAAACAAGTCCAAAATTTGAAAAATTGTAAATATAAGGTTTCAAATTTACGAATTCCAGGTATAGCCATGGCTGACCCCTATAATTTCTAGATCCATCCCTCTATGATGATATTTATGGTTTTACAGTGTGGAACTTAGATGTAAAACATAACTTAGATGGGTTTTAAGGAAGTTAAAGGTTTTAAAAAAGTCCAAAATTTGAAAAATTGTAAATATAAGGTTTCAAATTTACGAATTCCAGGTATAGCCATGGCTAACCCCTATAGGTTCTAGATCCATCCCTCTATGATGATATTTATGGTTTTATAGAGTGGAACTAAGATGTAAAACATAGTTTAGATGGGTTTTAAGGAAGTTAAAGGTTTTAAACAAGTCCAAAATTTGAAAAATTGTAAATATAAGGTTTCAAATTTACGAATTCCAGATATAGCCATGGCCGACCCCTATAGTTTCTAGATCCATCCCTCTTTGGTGATATTTATGGTTTTGTAGTATGGGACTAAAGATGTAGAACATAATTTCGATGGGTTTTAAGGAAGTTAAAGATTTTAAACAAGTCCAAAATTTGAAAATTGTAAATATAAGGATTCAAATTTACGAATGTTAGGTATAGCCATGGATGACCCTTATGGCTTTTTCATCCATACCTCTATGATGAAACATATATTTTTAGAGTGTGAAACTAATAAGTAAAACATACTGAAGATGAATTTTAAGGAAGTTTAAGAATTTTAACAAGTGCAATGTTTGAAGAATTAAGAAATATCAGGTCTCAAAGGAGCACGGAAAGTATTGCAACATATTTCAGACAGTCATATGTTAGATTTTGTCTGTTTCCTGAGGATTTAAGCAGGTGCATATGACAGGCCATTGCATTACCTACAGGAAAAGAACTCTTAGAGATGATAAAATAGTTTGGACTTTGAGACAGCAAAGGTGCAAACAATCCACCCACATGTTTTTTCGGAAATGTTGTCCTGATTTTCAAGCCCTTTCACTCCTGCTTTTTCAATTTTTGTTGCATCAATATGTTGCGTTTTGAGACATAGTTAACCCATAAAAAGGAATAATAAATTTCTTTTAGATAAAGCAGAAAACAATATTTTCCTGTTATTTTCCCATAGGGAAAACTCATGCGCTCCATTACTTTCAGCTTAATTTTGGCCACCCATATTTGATATCTCTTAAACCCCTGATGGAATACATTATTTCTTTAAAGGGGTTAACTGTGTGTCAAAACACAACATATTGATGCATGTAGGTGGGTTGTTTGCACCCTGTCTCAAATAGAAATTATTTTATCATCTCCATTAGTGCTTTTCCTGGAGGAAATGCATTGGCCTAACATATGCACCTCCTCAAATCCTCAGAAAATAGCAAAAATCCAACATGTGACTGTCCTTAATCTGTTGCGATACTTTCAGTCCTCCTTTACAATTTCAGGTATTGCCTTGAATGTCTCTCTTTTTGAATGTATGACTTTTTAACTTAGAAATTAGATGTTGAAAATATTGTGGTCAGGTTTAATCCATGTTACAAGTATTGTTAAAAGAAAAATCATTAGAGTTGAGGACCTTACCCTAGAGTTCCTA